TATACTAAGATAGGTAGTGTAAATTTGTACAGTCTTTTAAACATGTTTGAACAGACGTCGCTGTACATGTATCCTTAAATATCACCTGTGTGTACGGTAGCCTCATGTTCTCCATTGCTATGCTTAAAAACTAGGTGTTGCTTTTGTGGATTGGTATTTTCATGTTTATTTTTTAACTAAATTAGTTTTTGTTTTGTTTTTGTTTTTTTGCCAAATAAATATATATAAATATAAATGAACTGAACATTTTCTTTTATTGTAACTATTTTATTTTTTTAATTATTTGGCAACATTGCTCTTTATATTTCTGTTGGCATAAAAGATCATTTTATCCATTTTTGGCATCTATTGCTCATTATCTTTGACTATACTGTGCTTGTTTTCTATTTTCTCAGTCAAAAATTGACCCACAAGACTGGAAAGTAACCGGGATACTGGCAAGAAAGCTTCTGGTTTTACTTCTAAAGGACATTATTGTGTTCACCATGTGTTCTCTGAATTGTGTGTATTTTATTTTTGTTTATTTTATTTTTCACCTAAGCATTTATGAACAATAAAGTGCTGTAATTGTGACTTTTTACAGGGCCAGATGCTTTACCAGACCCTTGGTTTAAGAAATGACTTGTTCTTGGTGTACATTTTTTAAAATTTTCCTGAAAATTGGAGCTAAAATAAGTCTGGAAAGCTGCAAAATTCAGGTTAGTGGAATATATAGCTCAGGGGTGGCGAAGTCCAGTTGGCGAGAGGTGCCATCCTGCAGCTTTCAGATGCAGAGATAGCTGAGATGACCATAGAAAAAAGTTTGTTTTTGATTCTTTGTAGATTTGAATCATTCCTTTGTTTAAGACCACCAGTTTTAAAAAGTGTCCTTAAAAGTGTCTTTTCTTTCAATAAGTTCAGGATGCCATTCAGTATGCTGAGGTTTTCAGGGCCCCACAACATCAGATCCCACACTGTGATAAACAGTGGGCGTGATGTTTCAACCAATAATATGATGGCTGACAATATACTAACGTTTCTAAGCCTGTAACATTTTGGCGATAGTGGAATAAGTTATGTTGGCCAGTTATTGCTGTAGCAGTAACCGAAAAATATATGTTTAAAATATATATATGCTGGAAATATATATATATGTCTAGCTTAAAAGTTGAATGGTTTGAAAATACACTGCTCAAAAAAATAAAGGGAACACTCAAATAACATCCTAGATCTGGATGAATGAAATATTCTCATTGAATACTTTGTTCTGTACAAAGTTGAATGTGCTGACAACAAAATGACACAAAAATCAATTGAAATCAAATTTATTAACCAATGGAGGCCTGGATTTGGAGCCACACACAAAATTAAAGTGAAATGTTCCCTTTATTTTTTTGAGCAGTATATTTTAAAATAGGTAAATTTTAAGTATTTAGCTATTATGCAAATTCACATGCCGACAACCGGAAGTGGACAGTCAAAATAAAGCTGCGAACCTTAACTCCTGCTGCCGATGAGCTAGCGCGGCCACTGTTGTAGATTCATTGTAACACCTGCATTGCCGTTAAAATGGCTCATCTCATGTTTTAAGCTAAAATGTTGTACGTGTTGAGAGGAAAAGAAGATGAATTATTATAAAAAAGTGACCTGAAGCAACATCTGAATCTAATCAGGCGCACCAGCAGAAAGGTTCCAAGACTGTGGTCCTATCGGCAAGTGAATCTACATATTCAGCTCTAAGCTAAATATTTAACTTCAAATATTTAGCGCAGAGTTAAGTATATAGTTTGAAGCTAAATGTTTAACTTGCTAACTAAATATTATTATAATATGACTTTGAAAATGAATCCTAATTTATTTTCTTTTATGACAGACTAAATAACCCAAATTATTGTTGATTTCTAATTGAGTAAATTTACAAACGGCATCTCTATGGCTTCCTACGCAGGAGTTGTCTCTTTCAAAGATAGTCCGATATTGACCAGCCAACAAACAAAAAGACCCTTTAAGTTCATGATTATTTTGTTCTGGGACTGTTACAATAATAGTTCTATAATTGTTCTCACATTTTTCACAAGTGCCTAATCGAAAAACACCGCAATGACAAGGATTTTAAAATAACAAGACAAATGACATTAATTTACTAATTGTCATAAAAAAACAGGAATGTGTGTGTGTGTGTGTGTGTATATATATATATATAAATTGTAACCATTGGCAATCCATTATTATATGAAGGCAACAATTACATTACATGTTAACTATAAATGTTAATTTTTTTCTTTTTCAACTTGGGGGAATCACAGAGGTCCAATCAAATTGGAAATCGCGGTGGGAAAGTTGGAGGTTTCTCACCAGCTACGACCTCATCTAATATAATATTGTAATAAAAATAAAACAAAGTAAGAATATGTATGCACTGGAGATGTTTGCATCTAAGTACTGTAAATCTTTCACACACAGTACTGTACATTGTCCTATTGGGAATATTTTGTTCTGGGTGTGGCCCTCCCACTGGGCCATGTGGGCAGTTACCCAGGGCTGCATCAGCAACGGTGGTGGGCAGTTTACCCAGGGTGGCATCAGCAACGGTGGTGCACAGGCACCAGATACTGCAATTAAATATAAACTCTCACAGTCGGGGCACAACTCCAGATGTTGTGCCCTGGTTGGTTGGGTTGGCAGGAGGCAGGGCTCGCTTAGAAGTACCACTGTTTATATGTGTAAGAGACACTAACCCTCACCCTGTAGTTCTTGAGTTTTGTAACTCTGAAAAAGTTACAAAACTATCTCTAACTTTCCCCGTCCTCATATCAGTGACAGTATATAGAAGAGCTGCTGTGAATCAAAACTTATTATTCTTGCTGATATGAATCCTATTTTTGCAACTCAGGTTTCTTGTGAGAAATTGGATGCACATCTTAATATCATTTCATCACAGTGTTGTCCTTTGCTGGTGTTGGATGAATAACATAAGATGGATGGAAATTACCCCAGTACCAGAGAGAACCTTGGCTGGCTAGGCCGTGTTGCTATGCTGCTACAAGGAGGGAGAGGGAGAGAGAGGCCTGGAAGACTGTGGGGGAGGCGGAGGCCTCATCTGCAGTGCTGTGTGCAGAAGGAGTGCTTAACAGCACTGAACGGGGGAAGAGAGGAGAAGAAGAGAGGCGAGGGGGAGGCAGAAGGGTGGCGAACGGAGCTGGGAGGGGGGAGGGGAGGAAAGTGGGAGTCAGAGAACACAAGAGAAGCTAAGATGGGTGATTGGGAAGGAGGAGATAGAGGAGATGGCAGCAGTGGGGGGAGTCAAAAACTGCGCCCTCTGTGCTTGGAGATGTGGTACAGCAGGGCATAAATATGTGCGATCTTAAACACAATGAAGGCCTGGCTATCTGGCTGGACTGGTCACATCGACCTGACCAGCTGCCCAAATCCACCTGAATGGGGAGGGCTGGTGATGAAGTGACAGTTAGGACAGCGAAGGAAGGGGACATTTCCACAGATTCTCCCACACAAGAGATGTTAATATTTCCCATCTGCACAAGCATTGGTAATGGGTGCAACTCTTCTGACCATCACATGCAACTATAAAGGTGTTGTAGATATAATCCTTTATTCGTACAGGAAAAATCTCTTGAGACTCATTGTCTCATTTACAAGAGAGACCTGTTACATCACAACCTCCCCCCATAAAAACAGTAATACTAAACAATTCCACAAATCAATACTACACATTGTCAACAGAAGGGCTTTCAAAGATCAGGGTGCAACAGAAGCTGGGACAATAAGAGAGGGAGACAGACGAAGGGAAGCACGCTGCGAGGACTCCTCCTTTGCAGAGCTGGGTGATGGAGGCTGGAAAAGGGAGGACTGGGGTGGAGGTGGGGCTGGGGGATGCTGGGGCGGGGGCAGGGGGGCCGCGGCAGACAGAGACGGTTGCAGGCCTGTGCACTACGTCTCCTGCAGTTACATTGGTCTTACTGCACATCCACAATACAAACAACGCAGGGGAGGAGGAACATGTTAGGCCGAAACATTGAGGAGGTAAAAAAAAAACAAATGGAATAGTGGTAGAATAGAAAAAAAAAGATGTGTGCTTTTAAACCTTTTTTAGAAGGACTTACATTTTTATCCATCCATCTTTGCAAATGAATCTAATCCAGTCAAATTACAAAAACCATCTGAATATTGATTTTCAAATCTTGGCACAACTTTTCAAATGGACTTAGTCCTAGACTTTGAATCTGCCATTCTAACACACAAACATACTTTGATCTATCCGTTTTACTGTTGATCTGCCTGGTGTTCTGAGTCCTTGTTCTGATTTAAAGATGAAACTCTTCCAGAGTGATTTGCAGCCTTCTGGTTTTCTTGAAGGACTGCCATGTTTTTAGCTCCATCCATCTTCCGATCAACACTAATCAGCTTCCATGATGCTGCCGCCACCTTTCATTGTCAGGATGATGTTTTCAGACCATCCAATGTACAGTAGACAAAAAAAAAAATATCTTTTTTCACATATTTTCTAATAGCTAAATAAAACTAACACAAAACCATCTATCCATCCACCCCCTGTTTTTGGTCTAGAGCAGCGACTGTGGTATTTGGCCAGGAGGTGGCACTCTAAGAACGAAAAAATGTGGTTAACGATTCCTGCCTTTTTAAATAGTTATTTTTATATCATATTATGATTTATAATTTTTTCATGTTAGCATGTATACAAAATAAAAGTTATTTAAGAAGGCAGTATACATTAACCACATTTCATCCTGTCTTCATAACTGTTATTTGTTCCATAACTGCTGTCATTATATTTGGGGATGTCATAAATTATGATATTTAAAATAAGTAGTAATGTAAATTAAATACAATTTCCTAAATAACGGTTTTTTTTCTTTTTATTGTAGTTTATGTTGCTAATATGTAGTTTAAGTGTACTTCGTTGGTTTCTTGTTCAGTCTTATTTTGACTGGCTAAGAATTAGCGGCTTTTATTTTGAAGCAACCAGCTCTCCCAGTCCTGAGAGAAGATAGGCAGCCCGAGGCAGGGACCAGGCCAGCTCAGACACAGCGCAGGCTGCCGCTTGGATAACATTGGAAATGATAATTATGAGAGGAGATAAGTTCACCAGCTGAGCCGAGCTGGCTGACAGCAGTTGTGCCGTTCTCTACACAGACCTCTGAAACTGGTGGTAGCCGAGAGTTCTTGGGACAGTTCGCGGTCCCGGTAAAACAACTTGTTTTTTCGGACACTCTGTGGTGGCAGCAGCGGTCGCTGAAGCGACGGCTGGAGCAGGGCGTAGTGTGCGGGCTTTGGAGGCGTCGATGGTCCTGCTGCTAGCGAAACATGAACAAAAACCACCGAGTACCGAGCAGCCGTTCTCTGAGTGCCGTGGAGGTGAAAAGCAAGGTGACATGTATACTTTTTATTGTCAGTTTTACTTTCTCTGTGTGTGATGCTAAATCATTGTGGTGATTAACATTATTACTCCTGCTAATTTAGCCCGCTAAGTGGCTTGGTAGCAGGTTGTGATGTTCCGATTACAGATACATAAACCTGAGCTATACGCACAGTTCTGTTTTTACTGTGTGGAGTTCGTTGATAACTCGACACATTTTAAGGTAACTATTTTGTGGTTGTATTTGCCAAGTTTTATGGCTGGCTAAGTTTGAAGGTGGAGGTTAATGTCAGCTGACTCCGCAGCGAGCTAGTTTCACCTGTCACAGCTCCTTCCGCCGCTCCCTGCACTCACTCACTGAAGTTGTGACAATTGCGTGTTTTATAACTACTAGGAGATATAAGCGCTGTCGCCTCATAAAGGGTTTACAACAAACGGAAACATGTTTAAGGCGTCACAATAAAACAATTTATTAAATGCAGGTGATATTATTTATGTCTGCAGATGTCATTCGGCTTGCTTTCGTCTGGCTTCTTCCGCAGAAGGCTCTCTGTGTCCTGTCTGTAGCCCACATTGAGGAATTCTACCGAAAACTATTATTTACTTTAATATACACAAACTATGACATCAGTTTTTGGCACAAATACAAATTATTTTTATTGTTTTAGGAGCGCTCCTCAATCTGATAGGGCTGAAGTTTATAAATACACTGATTACTTGACAGGTGACCGGAATCGGCCATTTCTCATCTTTTTATAGTTATGTGCCATAGCTATACAAAAGATAGCAGTTGCTACCTTAAAATAAGGAGTCAAACTTACCTATTTAGTAGAGCATGTAAAAGAAGGTTTTTTTTGTGTTTTTTTTGGGGGGGGGGATTATGTGAACCATTCTGAAATTTTTGACATTTTTTTTATTTTGTGATCCATAGCCTATTATTGGTCTGATCTTTTAAACTAGTAGAACAATTTTAAAGTGATTTAATGAATATTGAATCATATGATGTAAGATGTGTTTATATAGAAATTTGCAGAAGAAGTTATGGGGTGTTCAAGAGGTACACTTGCAAAGACACAAACATATACTTTGGGGCAGTACGGAGTAATTAAATTTTCCAAAGTCCCTTATTAATAACTGGGTTTGTTGCTGAGGGGCAGATCAATGGCTGAAGTTGATCTTTAAATAAATGTATTCGATTTAAAAAATTATAAATATGTTTTACTTGCTGTTGGTAACACAAGTCAACATGCCATACTGGTCAACTGAAACTTCAGATTATCTCACTGTAAACAATTCAGTTTTTTTGTTGTATTTTCTGGTATGTTTAATCTGGTCTTCAAAAATAGCCCTGCTTTACTTTTGACTTCATTAAATATGTATTCAACAGAAGGGTGGGGTACCCATAATAAGATTATATTATTGTTTCCAACAACCTGTGACCTTAACAAATTGGACTTGTGACAGAATTTGTGACCAACAAATGTTGAATTCTAAACAGTCTTTTGGAATATTATTAATACACACAGAGAGCTATTGTAATGATATATTGTGCAGTCCATACCTAGAAACATGTGCATTATTCATAATTCAATATTCTCTACAATATTTAATTGTATTTTTAAGGGAATTTCATGCTTTGGGGGGAAAAAAACACTTTCCTCAATTGTTTATTCAGTTGTTTATACTGCTGCCTCAAACAATGCTATGTAATTTTACATGATGAAACCTTTTGAAGGAAAAGGGAAAGACTTGAGTCTTTGTAGTTCCAAGTAGAAACAGATGAAAAGCTTCAGGTGGCTACAAACCAGAAACTGGGATAAGGTTCTCCGTCTGGCCAACGGATCACAGTTTAATTTGTCAAACCTATAATCAGCATGCAGGGGACATATTTAAATGCTTAGATGTTTGACATCATTCTGTAATAATAAGGTTAACAACCATTTAATTGTGAATTGAACTAAATGTGTCTGAAATTATTGTAAAAAGAATTGTTGAAATAGAATGATCTTTCTGGAGCACTGCTATGTTTAGATTATATATATATATATATATATATATATACACAAAGACTTCTGTGAGATTTTAGCAAAAATCTTTCACCTGTGTCTGGACCTGTCACAATAACAAATCTTGTTGGAAGAGAAATTCATATAAGTTATTGTGATAAATGTCTATATTGTTGTTTTGTGGCCATTTTTCATTAATAAAATGGTAATGGCATAATAATGCAGGAATACGTTCTCAAAAACCAATAAACTTTAAATTCAGATTAACATCCAACACAGGATCTGGAAGACATTTTAAATATCCAAAATAAATAAACAAAGCAGCAGAAACGACAAAAAAAAAATCGTAAGTCTCTTCAAACAAAATAGTCTGTCAAAAAACAGCTAGTTGAGACCAAAGCACCTGACTGAAGACTTTTTTGTTGTCCAGTTTTTGGTGGAAAGAGAGAAGAGAAATAATAAATCATGCAAATGGAAATAAATGAGCTTGTTTTAATTTTTCATGCAATTAACTGATTTATTGCTTATTGCAACAGGCCTACTGGTATCGGAGAAAGAGAATTGAATGTTTTTTTCTTTTTAGATGTTTTTACATGAGCAACAGTCATTTGATGCCATAAGTTCAGAATTCATGGGTAAAAATTAGATGTAAAATTAGACTGATGAAGCAGCCAGCAGTACATTTTAACATTTTTTTCTCCAGACTTGCCTGTAGAAACTCACCAAAATCATTGTGTGCTGTAAAGTCCAACTGCTTTTACTTGAGTCCTACAACTTAATCTCTACATTGCTGTGCACCGATGTGCAACAAGCGCCCAAGTTGGCAGTGAATTGTAGCTTTTTTTTTTTGGTCCATCCTGGGCAACAGTAACCACAACAACCAGAACTTGTTGTCAACATCAGCAGGGAGGCTTTCTACGTGCTGATGAGATCAGACGTCTGTAGTTTGACCCTGTCTGCTATTGTGCTGAAAATTTTTTTTTTTATTTTTTTTATCAAATTCCATAAGAACACATCCTGTAATTTACTGGATTTGTAGTTTAATTCCTCAGAATAGTTTAGCAAAACTCCCTTGATTCTCATTGCACACCTTTTTCTGAACCTGTTCCGACCTCTCCGATATCATCTGTGTTAATATTCGTACTGTGATCCTGTATGTCCTGTCCCAGTTTGGCGCAGAGTTCCGTCGGTTCTCTCTGGATCGCTCAAAGCCAGGCCGCTTTGATGAGTTCTATGGCCTTCTGCAGCACGTTCATCGCATCCCCAACGTGGAGCTGCTGGTGGCCTACGCCGATGTGCACGGCGACCTGCTGCCCATCAACAATGACGACAACTATCTCAAGGCCGTCAAGAGTGCCAACCCTCTGCTGAGGCTCTTCCTGCAGAGGAAAGGTAACATTTATTGTTCTTCAGTTTCTGCATGTTTTTAAATGACCTAGCTTAGAAATACAATGCTGGTTACAGAACCATAACGTTTTTTACTCTGGACAGTCGAAAAGTTATGGTTTTGGTGTATATTTGAAATCATACACAACTCCCGGCAAATTTAGCGTCAAATGTTTTTCAACCAATCAAGAAGTTTTTAAAAAAAATTTTCCAGAAAGGAAATTAGGCAAAAGATATTGAAACAATGTAAAAGGAGTGTTGGTTTTGGAAAAAAAAATAATGAAATGAAATGTCATGTTGAAAATTAGTTTTACTCTTACCAATAATAACGGGGAAATTTACCGGCATTACAGCAGTTAAACCCTTCTTAGAATTGTTGACCAGCGTGTTGCATGTTTCCAGTGGGGTTGTGATGATGCATCGTTAGTGATGAGCCTCCTTACCACCAAAGATAAGATAAGATTAGATTCTGATGAATCTAATCTCCCTTTACAGATCAGAGTCATGTCTGGACTATGGCTGCGTTGCTCCAAAATGTTAACATTACTCTTAAAATAGGAGGAAAACTATTCTGGTATGACTATTTTTGACCCTCCCTGACCGACTTCCTTCATTTTGATTGATCAGCAGTTGGCCGATACTTATACGTAAAACTGATCTTTTCCTCTGATGTTATCTGACTCTGCAAAGGTTGCAGTTTATAATTATCACCCATTATGGCTTACTTGGCAAGTTCGTGGCTTTAGGGACTTTTCAGAAATAAAAAAATTTTACTGGCCAACATCAGAGTCGACCATAAAGACCAGTGATCAGCCAGAAAACTGCAATCGATGCATCCTTTGAATAATTATATCTTACATGCTTAATTGAACTCTGGATATGTTTTATTAAGTTTTGAAATCTGTTATCGGGTTTAGGTTAAAGGTCGCAGGATTTTAATGGAAAATGCCAGGTGTGCATGCGTCACAAAATCCTTCTTGCTCATCTGTATTTGTTTACTTTAATTAGTACTAAAATGTACTTCCCTCACAGTGCTCCCATTACAGTGCATGAAAATTTTCAGCTTTCAGAATATATGAGAGGTTTCAGTGTGTTTACTTGTGAGAGTTTTGAAGTTAATGTTTCTCATATTCAGGCATTGCAACACTTTCCTGTCTGTTTGGATTTTTAACCCTGTGAGTTTCCAAGTGTGACTTGTTGAATGTTGGGAGGATCCCAGGGTCTGGTGGCCGAGGGTGTTTGGGGGGGAGGAGGGGTTTAAGCTGTCTCCCTGTGCCATATAACCCTATAGAAGCTAAGCCACTTTGTCAAGAGGAGATTAGCGAGGTGAGTGCGTAGCGCTGCATGGGACGCTGTTTGAATTACACGCTCCAGACACAAGCCCCACGCTGGGTTCACTGCTGTTCAGAAACGCACCGGAACAACATGAAAACACGGTGGTGGAGCCAAGCAGGGAGTGCACATCACTCACGCTCTTAGGCATGCGCTGAAATAAAAACCAACAACGGTCGCCCATCAATGCAACCACAACCCCCCACAGACCCTATTAACCTCACACTCCTGTCCCCCTCTTGGTTTGTTGCCCTCCCCTGCTCTTCACCCTACCAGAAGGCACCAGTAGGATTAAGTTGACAGAGCCCTGCAATGTGTGGGTGCAGTACATTAACACTGTAGATGTTTCATTCATTCAACACTGACTTATTTTTAAACACTTCAGTGATGCTACAAGTAGCTTACTTTGAGTCTTCTTCCCTTAGTCACAACTTCCATTTGAAAGAGTATTATTGTTACTGGACCCTGTCTGGATACGGAGAGTTCTATGATAAGAAAAAGATGAGAGATTTTAGTTTCTGATTAAGCCTGGCAAGATTTTTATCCTGATTTTTGTCCTGATTTTCCTCTTCCAACAGTCTTAAGCATGTGCAGATTATAAAGATGACCCTTAAGATAAAGTTAAGAGATGTATACTTGCTGTGTGTGGTATGTTAATACCACATACCACACACAGCAAGTATATGTAAGTATATGAGGGGCAGTATTATATAAATTGCATTTTTTAAGCTTTACGTCATGTTATAATGTTATTTAATCATCAAGCATACCTGGAGTGTTGCTTTGATTCTTTCTTTCATGTTTAAGATATCGTTTAATCTCCTTGACAACCATTCAGCTGTGGATGGACCTAACCCCACTTTCGAGGCGCAGCTCCTTCTCAGAGCTGCAGTTTCTTAGCTTCCATATCACAGAGCAGCCCTCCCAGCACCTCCAGACTAACAAGCAGCAATTAGCAAACACCTGAAGCACTTACGCATCTGTTGTGCTCATTATGTATGAACTACTTCTCAGTGAAACGCTGGTAGAAACGTTGATAAAGGGTTAACAGAGGAGCCTTGTTGTGATGACTTCTTGAAGGTGGAGTTTCAGAAAAAGCAGGAGTTTTTAAAGAGACAGAGGCCCAATTTTATAAAAGTCAAATTTCTTTCAAATCATATTTGATATGTATATAACATTTTTATAACAATTGAAGGTAACATAGATACTTAATTGTGCTATAAAGGGGCACTATGTGACTGTAAAATACATAATACTGCCACTTTAAGAGTGATCTTGTTTGTTCTTAAGGAAGTCAGGACTGCTCCAGTCTAAAAGTCGGGATATTCAGCACTTTGGATAGTCGGGGATATTGCAGTGTGTATGATGTTCTGAGGATAAATGACAATGCAGCCTGTTTTAAATAAAGAAAACAAATGACTGCCAAAGTGGACCGTAAAGTTTGGTGTACTTTTGAGTCATCTTTGTATTATATATATTCTGTTAAATATAGTCCACAAATTGTCATCATTGCTTTTTCCCAGTCAAGTTTATTATGAACTATTATTATGAACTTGCGTTTCATCTCAAGACGTTTTGCAATATTTTCTGATATCTGAATGTTGGTAAGTGAAATCAGTTTTTATGGTGACTTGACACCACACACTGTATGACCAAACCTCTTATAGCCAAGCAAATATGTTGTCATTTGTGTCTCTTAGGTTTTGACAATTGGTCGACAATTTTAAAATCTTGCTGTGTGAAGCAGACATTACCTAATCAAGCTGAACATTAGTCACCAGCCAATTTGTCTGTGTGTCTTTATGTAAAAGGTACAGTTGAGTCCTAGTGAAGAGACTTTTATCAAACAAGAGGAACCCACTCCTAACCTACTGCTAATACCTTTGAGATTCACTTGTCATATTTCTATAAATTTCATTAACTTTTAGACAGATGTGATATTATTACTGGATAAAGTGAACCTTCAAAGCATTGACGAAGAGCTCCTCTTCCTTCGTGGAGCAGTGAACTCTTATTAGAGGGCTTAGAAATGTGTTTAGCTCTGAAATATAAACAGCTGTCTCCAGTTACAGCGCTTGTTTATCATTCTCAAACTGGCAATTTCACAATCTGTGTGTTTAGTCTCAGTGCAGATCAGTTTGCACCTAATGAGGGTTGTTCCCAATGTGGCTTTTAGTTTTATTCTGGGAGACTGACTCGGGCATCGTACATGAGCTCGGTGATCAATGGGTTTTGTTCATTTCTGCAGACATTATGATGTGAGGCTGTGGAGTTTGTGGCTGTTTGCTTTTTGTATAAAGAGTTTTGTTTGTTGACTTGTGTATCGGTTAAAGTAGGCTAACTTTTAAACTTTAATAAAGTGCAAAGAGTGTGTTGATGATGACTGAGCTGGCTGTGATGTGTTCTGATTAGAAATGTTTTTACGTGCATTATTGGTGTTAGAGCGGCTCTAAGGATTTTCCATTTAATCTTCCAACATGTGTAATGTCAATTTCTAGTTGTCAAAACTTGGTGTGTTTGGAAAACTGCAAAAACTGTAAAGAGAGAAAAAAATCTCCAAAGTCTCTCCTCTGTAGTCTTCGTTTTGAATAGACACATTTTTTAAACTTGCTGAATAAAACTATATATTGGGAATATTTTCTGATTCAAAAAAAAAAAAAATTGTTTTATATGTGTCATGAAACATCTTCAGCTTGTCATACTCTCGCTTGTTTTCAAACTTTAAGGGTTGTGAATACATTTGGCTTTTGACACTTCTGACTTCTGTTTTGTTCTTATGTACCTAAACCACAGGCACTTAATTTTTTCTAGTTAGAAAAACACTTAAATGAATTAAGGATATAAATAGTCATGAAAATGTGACTATTTTAAGTATCTCGGTACCAAAAAATCTATAAAGCTACCACGTTGATGTGTTCAAAAATTTGCATGCAATTATAAACACCATTTTATCACTTTCAACTATCACTTTTTGTGGAAATGGCAGTCCCCGTGGGTTTGATTTCATCTGTTTTCATTCCACCAAGCTATACTGAACTGTCCATTGGTGCATCAGTGTTGTTGTGCAAAATATACATGAACTCCAGCACAAAACCAAGAGTTAAAGGTTCTGTCTAATTGGCCACAGTTAAACGTGTCCTGTACCAACACTGCCTAAAAAGCCACTCAGCTTGGAAGAAATCATTACTTCAAAAGCAATATAAAAAGGCAAATTACTGTTTATAACTACTCAAAGACAAATATGTTAGCTTCTGGAGAGATGTCCTGTTGTCTGATAAAATTAAAACCTGGCTGTTTGGTCACATGAATTTCAACCTGGCCATCGGTAAGCAAAAGGAGGAGTTGTGAATGATGACGGTGATTTTCTGCGCCGTTTTAGAATTGTAGTCTGCCTGTGGTTGTAGTTTGGGAATAGCAGCGGAGAAAGTGAACAGAGACAATCAGTCCATGCTGGCCATCCTTTCTAATATTGAGCTACTAAAATTGAAACAAATGGAATGCATAAAATATTTTATTGCTAGCAAAGATGTCATGGCCCTACTCCTCACAAGGTTTTTTATTTTTTACAGCGGACACATGGTAAGCTTCGATGTGACGCATTTCACGTCACGGCCAAACATTACCAATTGGGTAAAATTAAATTCAATTGTTTCAAACATCAACAGAGTCCATGC